TATATATATATATATATATATATATATATATATATATATATATCATATATATATTATATATATTATATATATATAATTTATATCATATAATTTATATCATATTCAATATATTAAAATAAAATAAAAAAACTATTTTAAATTTGTTAAAATAAAATTATTAATAAATTTAAATTAAAATGTACATTTATTTTAATTTAATAAATTTAAATAAAGAATAATATTTCACATTTTTGCAGATTTTACTGTAGTCTGTTTCTCACTTTTCTTTAAATAACAATACCACATTTTGCCAGTATACTGTGTAGTATATGTTTTATTATTTTTTTCAATATAATCTAGTTACATATACTGTACTTGTTGTTTTGTAATCAAAACAGAATTTTCGGCACCGTTACTCCCCTTATACTATGACAAACATTTCCGATTATTATCAATGTTTTTATTACCAAAGGATTCTCTGATGAATACAGAGTGAACAGCATTTTTTTTGGATACAATATTTTGTAAATGTATATATACATGTATATAATTGTTTTTTATCAGTTTAATGTAATCAATTACATCTTTTTGTAAAAGAAATCATACTGTTGAACTTGTACTCAAGTATTTACACACAAATTTTGGTCGAGTGTGATGATATTTAAAGAAGATTATGTAAAATTAAGTATTAACATAATATAAATAAGTGTTTTTCATTATAATATATTCTAAAATGTTTCTTTTGCCTTTTATTAAAATAAAAATTTTCAAAATCATCACACCTTTTCATGAACCGCTCTAATGAAGCTAATCTGATTATTCAAATATTCAATTTAATCTTATTTATGTTATAATTTAATCTTATTTATATTTTAATTTAATCTTATTTAGGTTTATTTTTAATGCAATACTGACAAATACTGACACAAACGATTAAAATAATATAATTGATTTAAATCAATTAAAATGTAATATTATAAACATCCTAAATTTGCCCAGTGAATTTTTAAACCTAATAATGTGGCTGCCAAAAAAATAATATCAAATCAGGTTCAAATTTAGTTTTCAACATAAGCATTTGAACACACAACATAAGCAAACAATGCAAATATATATATATATATATATATATATTTCTACTGATGAGAAATCCATTGAAAAACACACTCAAAAAATAAAGTTTGCCGTTTGCTACCTACTTAAAATGAGCTGAAACAACACAATTGTTGAGTTTATTAGGGGGAAACTTAATTGTTTTATGTTCAATCCGCTCAAATTTGTTAAAACTAATAAGTTATACTTAAATAATGTTGCACACAAATTAATTGAACTATGAAATGTATAGGAACAAACAGAAAGCATGTGTGTTTGCGCTGTGATATATTGGCACTGTACCTGTGACTGAACATTGGCCCCCACCTGAGAGCCCTGGTACGAGTCCCCGTTCAGAGACTGAACACTCATAAACAAATCGCCAGAGTTTGACATGTTAAAAGAGCCTGCAGAACCTGAGAGGAGCACAGACAGCACAGAGAGAGATAGAGAAGCAGAACAAGCAGGAGAAATGAGTCTGGAAACTTCAAGCCAGCAGAAATGCAGATTGTATAGTTTTCAGAGCAGGAGATCCAGCAGCGCATGAAGAAGACAGACATCAAGCAGGAGAGATTCGGCTCACAGCAGGAGAAAAACACACATATGTCTGTATACATGGCTTTTCACCTTTATATACAGACTATTTATAATAATAACTGGAGTCTTTTTTTAGATGCATAGAAGCATGAATACAAAACAATGCATTTAGAGATTATAAACGAGTCAGAAACTGGGTCACATTGCATAATTTGCTTCTTTTTTTATTATCTGACATTTGTATATTTTTTTGTGTGAAACATCTTACAGGAAAGTTATATACAGTTGAAGTCAGAATTATTAGCCCCTCTTATTTTATTTTTTATTTTTTTAATACTTCCTAAATGATGTTTAACAGCGCAAGGAAATTTTCACAGTATGTCTGATAATATTTTTTCTTCTGAAAAAAGTCTTATTTGTTTTATTTCGGCTAGAATAAAAGCAGTTTTAAATTTTTTTAAAACCTATTTTAAGGTCAATATTATTAGCCCCTTTAAGCTATTTATTATTTTGATAGTCTACAGAATAACCCGTCATTATACAACAACTTGCCTAATTACCCTAACCTGCCTAGTTACCCTAATTAACCTAGTGAAGCCTTTACATGTCACTTTAAGCTGTATAGAAGTGTCTTGGAGAATATCTAGTCTAATATTATTTACTGTCATCATGACAAAGATTAAATAAATCAGTTATTAAAGATGAGTTATTAAAACTATTATGATTAGACATGTGTTGGAAAAATCCACTCTCTGTAAACAGGGTGGCAAACAATTCTGACTTCAACTGGATATAGTAATAAATAGTAAATACTATTTACTGTAACAAATTAATTGGTCATAACTTGGGCCAGACGGAATCTGCGGACGTTTTTTGCTATTTCTGCAGAGAATTTTGGTAAAAATCTGCGTATTTCTGCGGAATTATTTTGGGAGTATCCAGCAGAGTATCATAACCAAAACCTTAATATATTAAATAAAAAGTAACAAATTACTGAATAAAAACTGAACAAATTCAGATTTACACATTTACTCAAGTAAATAAACAGAATTAATTATGGGCTAAAAATCTGCGGAATTCTGCGGAAAATCTGTGGAAAATCTGCAGAATTCTGCGAAAAATCTGTGGAAAATCTGCGGAATTCTGCGGAAAATCTGCGGAATTCTGCGTGCACAGATTCCGTGTGGGCCGAGTCATAACATATCAATTAGTCCTGAAAGCATATGTTTTTAGTTCATTGTAACTTGTTAAACTGAGTTAATCATGTTATAACTTAATTTTATAAGTTACACAAGCGGTTTTAACCAGTTTAACAAAATATAAGTTCAATGTACTCATAAGGGTAATTTGATTCAGTTTTAATTTAAGGCAACCAGGATTTTTTGAACAGTGTAGTTAAAGTGTGGGTTTAAAATAAAAAAGCATTGTTTGCAGATAAAAATAATAATTTAAAATTAGATTAAAAAAAAAAAAAGTTTGTTTAAAAGTTTGGGTTTTGGCTTAATCCCTTTATTAATACAATGATGTGCCTAATTACTCTAACCTTTCTAGTTAACCTAATTAACCTAGTTAAGCCTTTAAATGTCACTTTAAGATGAATACTAGTGTCTTGAATAATATCTAGTCAAATATTATTTACTGTCATCATGACAAAGATAAAATAAATCAGTTATCAGAGATGAGTTATTAACACTATTATGATTAGAAATTTGTTAAAAATATATATCTGTTAAACATAAAAAATAAACAGGTTTCAACTATATATATATATATATAAATGCTTCTTAATCATCAAATCAGAATGATGTCTAATTATCATGTAATACTACAGGCTGGAGGTCTGATGCTGAAAAACAGAGCTGTGATTAACAGAAGAAAATCTTAAAATGTATTTAGAAACAGAAATTCAGTATATTTGATCAAATAAATGCAGAACATCTTTCAAAACTGAAGCTTTTTTTTTTTTTTTTAAATCTATCACCTAAATGAAAGATGTATTGGCATATTGAACAGTCAGTGTTCTCATAGTTTTAATGTCGGATAAATCTGTGCGTTTTAACTAGATTCAAAGATTATAAACATTTGCATACAGCGCAAATCAGAGTTTTTTTTAGTGACTCCTTGTTTCACATTTATTTACATATCGAAGATGTGAGCCTTGACTTTGGAGCCATATCAGTTTCAAAATAAATACATTTATAAAATAAATTTCATACACAACCCAGGCGCATTATTGATATGTACCCCTATATACATTTCTGGAGTGCGCCAAATGTCCCAGGAGGTATGTTCATGTGCAGTTTTTGTTTTCACGAATCCACCAGAGGGCGATGTGTATGCTTTTTGAGATCTCATATTGCTCTAGTGAGTGCCGTTCACGCCTGCTGTTCTCACGAGACTGTTGCCAACTGACTGACTGACCGTTACCCACGCCCACCCCCTAGCCTGAACCCAACCGACAGTGTTTTCAAAAGCAATCCAGAAAAAGATCTTACTATGTTCATTCATTCATTTTCTTTTCGGCTTAGTCCTTTCATTAATCTGGGGTCGCCACAGCAGAATGAACCGCCAACTTATCCAGCACATGTTCTACGCAGTGGATGCCCTTCCAGCTGCAACCCATCACTGGGAAACATCCATACAAACTCATAGACTATCGACAATTTAAGCCTACCCCATTCACCTAAAGTGCATGTCTTTGTACTGTTGGGGGAAGCCGAAGCACCCGGAGGAAACCCACGCCAACATGGGGAGAACATGCAAACTCCTTCTGAAGTGAAGCATGATGGGAGTGGAGTCTGTGTGTGGTGTTCATGTTCTCACCTGCTGAGTTTGGAGTGGACGGAGAGTTTGCCTGACTGCCGTGTGCAGAAACGCTCGCCGCGTTCACAGCCGTTCTGGCCGCATACATGTTCGCTTCTTCCTGGAACTTTCCGATGTTCTTCTTATATCGGATTCGCTTGTTTCCGAACCAGTTAGACACCTGCACACAAACACATCGTCAACACAATTGTTTCAAGATGGACAATTACACACACACCAGAATAAATTGATCACTTAAGTCAGTGTGTGTGTGAGTCAGCTCTGATCACAACAAACACTGACAGCAATCCTTCAACACACACATACACGCTAACGGCCATTACTGCTAATACAGCAGCGGATGAGGCTCTGTGCTAATGATAAACACCATTACCATGAGAAGCTAATCAATCGTGCGGCTAAGCTTCTGCTCCCGCGAGAGGCTAAAGGTGCTGCTATATTAGAGTCGTCATCACTCACACACCGCCGGTCGCACTCAAACCCAGCGCTTAATGCATCATACAATCATTTCTGCTGAATTTATTAAAGACTTTAGACTGCATTACGCATTTAGCGCAGCAGATGAATAATGCTAAGAGGCATGCGCTGCTGTGCTGCTGCAGATGATTTCGTTGAGCGGTTGCAGGAGCTTGAACTCACGTGAGCATTACTGATATTGTTCACATGCAAACCAGGTAGAAACAAAGATAGGGTCTGTCCTGATATAGTGAGATGGCTCGTTTATTTACATTACTTTAAGATTGATCATATTAAAAATAACTTGCAGTATACACTTACCGGCCACTTTATTAGGTACACCTGTCCAACTGTTTGTTTACGCAGCTTTCTAATAAGGACTGGCAGCAACTCAATGCATTTAGGCATGTAGACATGGTCAAGACCATCTGCTGCAGTTCAAAGCGAGCATCAGAATGGGGAAGAAAGGGAATTTAAGTGACTTTGAACGTGACATAGTTGTTGGTGCAAGACGAGGTGGTCTGAGTATTTCAGAAACTGCTGATCTACTGGGATTTTCACGCACAGCCATCTCTAGGGTTTACAGAGAACGGCCTGAAAAAGAGAAAATATCCAGTGAGCGGCAGTTCTGTGGGCGCAAATGCCTTGTTGATGCCAGAGGTCAGAGGAGAATGGCCAGACTGGTTCCAGCTGATAGAAGACAACAGTAACTCAAGTATCAACTTGTTACAGCCAAGGTCTGCAGAAGAGCATCTCTGAACACACAACACGGCCAACCTAGAGGCGGATGGGCTACAGCAGCAGAAGACCACACCGGGTGCCGCTCCTGTCAGCTAAGAACAGGAAACTGAGGCTACAATTGACACAGGCTCACTAAATATGGACAATAGAAGATTGGAGAAACGTTGCTGCTCTGATGAGTCTCCATTTCTGCTGACACATTCAGATGATGGGGTCAGAATTTGCCATCAACAACATGAAAGCATGGATCATCCTGCCTTGTATCAATGGTTCAGGCTGGTGGTGGTGGTGTAATGGTGTGGGGGAGATTTTCTTGGCACACTTTGGGCCAATTGAGCATCGTGTCCACAAAACAGTCTGCTTGAGTATTGTTGCTGACCATGTCCATCCCTTTATGAGCACAGTGTCTCCATCTTCTGATGGCTACTTCCAGCAGGATAACACACCATGTCATAAAGCGTGAATCATCTCAGACTGGTTTCTTCAACATGACAATGAGTTCACTGTACTCAAATGGCCTCCACAGTCACCAGATCTCAATCCAATAGAGCACCTTTGGGATGTGGTGGAATGGGAGTTTGGCATCATGGATGTGCAGCCGACAAATCTGCAGCAGCTGCGTGATGCTATCATGTTAATATGGACCAAAATCTCTGAGGAATATTTCCAGTACCTTGTTGAATCTCTGCCACGAAGGATTAAAGTAGTTCTGAAGGCAAAAGAGGGTTTAACCCAGTACTAGTAAGGTGTACCTAATAAAGTGGCCGGTGAGTGTATATGAATAAGGTAAACATTCAGCACTATTTTTATATTTAATTGCATGATATTTTAAAGTTGCATGGTACTTGAATATGGTTAAAATTCTGAACCATGCTTCATTCTAATTTATTTCAGTTTATTTTGAAAATTAAATGTTATTGTTTATGTTGTGAACATTATAAATAAAGCAAATATTCAAAACCATACTACATTAATAAAATCTACTTTAATTTAATAAATAATTTTATAATCTAATGAATTTATTAATAAAAAATAAATACATTGATTTATCAATTAATTAATCACTTAATAATTATTATAATTATAATTATTACTTGATAATTATCTTGATAATTGTATGATACATGCATAAATATGTTAAACATTCAAAACTATAAACTAAACATTATTCTTTTTTTTTTCTTTTGATGATTCACTGGTATTGTAAAAATACAAATGATAAATCAGCACCATTTATTTAGCTAATTCTGTAGTATATTAAAATTTATGAGCATTATCACATGAGTAGCACTGCAATGACAAGCACAGTATGGCTGCGTCCGAAATCACATACTTCCATCCTATATAGTAAGCTAAAATCAGTATCCAAGCTGCATATTATGTCTGAATTCATACAATTAAAAAACAGTATGCGAGAAGTACCCGGATGACCTAGTACTACCGTCGAGATTCTGAAGTGCGCATCCGATGCATACTACGCTATCCCATGATGCACTGCGACACAATTCAAGAATGGCAACTGATGTGGGTAGATCACGTGACCAAATTGACAGATGTACTACGTCCGAGTTCCATTCATACTACTCACATTCCCACTGTATATAGAACATCCTTTTCTAATGGTTGAGTAGTACGTGTAAATTCAAATGCAGTACCAACTGAGTAGGAGGCGATTTCAGACACAGCCTATGAGTAGTACAGTACATGAAAAGTATGCTGGAAATTGCAAGCCACATCTTTAATTTTGGAATCATCATATTACAAGCAATTGCAATATAGTGGGGTCTGTATTTTGACTAAAGTAGGATCTATATCTATGTTTTCAGGGCGTAATGTCAGAGAGGATTGTCAGCGATGTGTATTTCAGCACCTGTGAGACGGTGATGGAGCATTTCTTGGCCAGCTCCTCTTTGGCCTCCTCACTGGGATACGGGTTACTGAGGTGAGAGTAAAAATACTCATTCAGGATCTCTGTGGCCTGTTTGTTGAAGTTTCGTCTTTTCCTCCTGTGAAGAGAGCGAGAGAGAGAGAGAGAGAAATCAGATGTGAACATACTTTTTTCTTTGCATATAATTAATGCTTCATATTGGCAAATATAGAAAAGGCCACAATAATGAACCATTACTTTGGAGAAATTTTAGAGACAAATCATTTGGTTAAGAATCACTCCAGGTTTTATAAACTAGTAAGCTAAAATTTCAAAAATGGAATGAAGAGCGGCACTGTGGCTCAGTGGTTAGCACTGTAACCTCACAGCAAGAAGGTCGCTAGTTCAAGCCCTGGCTGGCTGGTTCAAGTCCTCCGGGTACTCCGGTTTCCCCCACAGTCCAAACACATGCGCTATGGGGGAACTGAAGTAACTTAATTGGCCGTAGTGTGTATGTGTGTGTGTGTGTGTGAATGAGTGTGTATGGATGTTTCCCAGTACTGGGTTGCAGCTGGAAGGGCAACCGCTGTGTAAAACATATGCTGGAAAAAGTTGGTGGTCCATTCCGCTGTGGTGTCCCCTGATTAATAAAGAGACTAAGGTGAAAAGAAAATGAATGAATGATTCTGCTGTGGTGACTCCTCATAAATCAGGGACTAAGCCAAAAAAAATATATATTTTTAATTATTTAATTTAATTTAATTTAATTTAATTTAATTTAATTTAATTTAATTTAATTTAATTTAATTTTATTTAATTTTATTTAATTTTATTTAATTTTATTTTATTTTATTTTATTTTATTTTATTTTATTTTATTTTATTTTATGCAGTAGATTCTACTGTGGTGACCCCTGATGAATTTGGGACTAAGCTGAAGAAAAATGAATGGGTACATATAATTCAATAATTGAATTTAATTTAATTTAATTTAATTTAATTGAATTTAATTGAATTTAATTGAATTTAATTGAATTTAATTTAATTTAATTTAATTTAATTTAATTTAATTTAATTTAATTTCGCTATGCCGACTAAGGCAAAGAAAATTTTATTTAATTAAATTTTTTATTTTGTTTTATTTATTTTATTTCACTTTATTAAAAAATATTAAAAGTAATCATTATTAACCTAACCCAATTTAATGAATAAATTTAATTAAATTAAATTATTTTAAATAAAAAAATTATTTAGGCAGTAGATTCTACTGTGTAGCCTAAGAAAAATGAATGAATGATTTTATTTTGTTTTATTTTATTTATTTATTTATTTGTTTATTTTATTTTATTTTATTTTATTTTATTTTATTTTATTTTATTTTATTTTATTTTATTCCGCTATGGTGACTAAGCAGACAAAGCATGAATTTTATTTATTTTATTTCATGTTATTAAAAAAAAATATTACAAATAGTCATTATTAACCCTAACCCAAACTGACAGCTGATAACCCTAGACCAGGCGCTAATAATGTAATTTAATTAAATTTTATAAAAAAAAATATCAAAGGTACTTATTATTAATTCTAATCAAAATTGATGACGTATTTGAACGATATGATAAATAAAACCACACATTTAGTCTTTTATCTTCAAATTATAGATTCATTAATTCCTTTTCTTTTCGGCTTAGTCCCTTTATTAATCAGGGGTCGCCACAGCGGAACGAACCGCCAACTTATTCAGCATATGTTTTACACAGCGGATGCCCTTCCAGCCGCAACCCATCACTAGGAATAAATTATATATACAATAACAAAAATAAATCCTCTCTCTATTTTTTAAAATATAATTTAAGGCCATATATTTAGCAGTTTATTCATGAAAACGTGCAAAAAAACATTGTTCTGGAAGAGAAAGAATCCACTCGACCGCATGCAGACTCCGAAGAGAAGCGGCTTTAAATGAATGAATTGAGTCCCTGTCGGCGTCACTCATCTGTGGGTGAAGAGTGTGTGAGTGCAGCTCATCTCAGGGGCTTTTACAGATGCAGCTCTGAAGGGCCGATTTCCTCCCCAAAACCCCTCTTCGCTAAATTCGCCAAATGCAAATGAGCACAGCACGCTCTCCGCCGAGCAGAGGATTAATGAAAGAAACTGAGCATGCTCTGAAGAGGATTCGGAGGAAACATCAAGCTCATTTAAATGTTATGGCTGAGACTCCAGGCTTCCAGCGTCATTTATCCGCAAAAGAAATGTATGCAAATCCCGGGCACGTTTCAAAGGGAACAAGCGATTACATTGAGAGAGGGATGGACTGTGTGTGGGTTTTGGCCCTTAAAGCGCGAGTCTGAGGCCTCCACTCCCCCGGGAAGGATCAGGAATGGGAAATCGCATGTGTGCAAAAGAGTGTTTGTTTACAT